TTTAACTACATCAGCAGAGCCACTGCACAGCACCCCCAAATGATAATGCACACTTGTAATGATTCTCCTCACAGATTTAATGTAAAAGGTTCACATAATATTGCCTATGGGCGGATTTAAAGTCATGAACTGAGCAAATGAATGATGTAAAGTTAATTTCATGCTTGTTCTGTGGACAAACTTGCAATGCCCCTGAGGCCCACCAGGGGGCCGCTGACCCCACTTTGGCCTATACAAATCATGAAGAAAACTTTTCATACTGAATAAATAGGATCCAGGCTGAGTAAGGAGTTAGGGCTCCTAAGAGGTTAGGAGTTAGGCTATTGATGAAGTAGCATGAATCATTCTTAATTTGTTCTACAGTATATGAATAAAAATTCGTACTTGTACTCTTTTAAGGCTAATTATGTGTAGTTATTATAATGTGCTGCAGAAAGCTTAATTCAGTTTACTCCCAGTACTCTTTATGCTTGATTATACAACAACCTGACTGCAGCTGGAACAGCTAGGACTATACGCTTACAACCTTCACTTTCACAACTACTGTATGCTCTATCTTTGGTGGTACATATACATACAATCTGATTTAATACCGTGAGGAAAAAAAAACAAAACAAAAAAAACCCAACACAAAACTGCAATATAATCTATATATAGCATTAGAAATATCTGTGAGTATAAAAAGAATGCAGAAAGATGTGATAGGAGGTTGTTTGCAAACACAAGAGCACTCAGCCTGTGTCTCTAGATGTGAGAGATACTGTGGTCTGTTGTCTCATGTTGTGATGATTGACGAACAGCAGGTCTGCCTCCCCTGATAAGCTTCTGCCTGCCACACAGATATGAATCAATGTGAAGGAGTAAATAGCCTTAAAAGGCTCATATTACGCTATTTTGGATCTGTAAAGTTGTTTCCTCATTGAAAACATACTTGGTGATGTGTTTTGTTTCGTTCACACATGTTTAAAACACAAATACTAAGGCTAATAAATAACAAATACAAAGACTAATAAATAATGATTACATGTATGAATGAAACAAAACACAACTCCAGATATGTTTTTGATGAGGTAACAACATTATAACATGACTAAAAGCTCAAAAAAGTCAATTTTGTGTAATATAGGACCCTTAAATAAAATTGCTGGACTTCACATGCAAGCTGTTAAATCCTTATTTTTTGTATTTATGTATTTACATTTAGTTCAATAGAACTTTCCATTTCATGTTTCCACCGCTTACATCAACATCCTACTGTTGATCTCTATGTCAGATCAAAGTCAAATTGTTTGTTGCCGGGGAAATGGAGTAAGAGAGATCACATGACCCAGAGAGAGGAAGCCCGCTGCGTGAGGTCACAGTGGAGCAGAGGAACAGTCCTGTTGGCAGAACATAGAAGGAAGCACTGCCAGGGAATGATGTCATCTGTCCACGGAAAAAAAAAAAAAAAAAAAAAAAACGTGGAATGACCCAACTCAAAAATATGGCACTGTTTGTTGCAATAGGCCTGTCACAATAACACAATTTGAAGTATGATATATTGCTGAGGAAAATATAGACGATAAATGATAACACTGAAACTAATTTATGCCACTGATAAAATAACAAAAAAGCAGGATTATCACAAAACTATTTTAAATGTACAATATAAATGAATGATAATATAAATATTACCTGCAAGACTGGTAGTTAGAAGTTCTTCTCACTCTTTTTCAAGCTCAAATAATAAAGAAAAATGTTGTGAAATCTACATTAAGTGTACTAAACACATGTATATTTTATTTCTATTTATGAATTTGTTGAAATCTAATCATAGTACAGTAAAAAATAAAAATAAAAATTTCACTCGTACAAAGAAAAAGTACATGATAAATTATGTATTCACAAACATGAAGCCATGCTCCTCCCACTGATCATATCTGTTATTTTCTGTGGTTCATATTATGACAACCTAAGATGCAACAAACTGAAGCGTGTCTATTCTATCAATTTCTGTTAGAATCTGAAGTAAAGCATGTGTTTCATAGTCAGGCAAAAGATACAATGATCTGACGAAGGCTTTTTGATTTTGGACCTCGACCACCTGCTTCTTGCATGTGCACCTCTATAAGAACTCTGTGTGCTTTTTCTGTTTCATTTGATTGAATACTTAATACCAAATGATGACAATGGAAACACTATGTAGTCTTGGGGATACTCTGACCCAGTAGGTGTCTATAGTCACAAAACCTTATCTATTTACCCTGGTTCTTTTACCCAACACAGAGGCCGTGTTTGAATGCTGCTGTAGGTTTGCGCAGTGCTATAAAAAGTCTGACCACAAGCCTGGGGCTTCCTGTCAGTTCACATTTAATTAAGACCTCTTCACAATCCACTCTTAGGATCAAAAAAGCACTAGTATCCACAAAAAAGTTAAGAGCTGAAAACAAATCCAACTGCATCCACTCTGAGCTGCAGAATAGAAAGCAGTGGCACCCTGTAATCTGCCCCACAGCCTCTCTGTCTGGTGCTTGGCCTCAGCTCCAGCTGCCATAGACGTACTGTTTAACTGCTCTGTGCTGCTGTTGCCAGAGCTCAGCTCTCAAAACCACTGGGACTCCATGACTACACCAGAACACACACGTCTGCTGCCTGTCCAGAATATACGGCTCTGTTTGCACAAGATTTACAATAAGATTAAAAATGTGTTTCATAAAAAGAAATATGATTACTCATGCCACGCAGAATCAGGCAGCACTCAACTAAAACAGAAAAAAATGTCTACTTCACATCAGAAAGTATTTGTTATTGCTGCCACTGTGCACCATGCACCCAAGGCCACTGTTGCTACTTTTAAAGGGCCAATACAAGAGCTATTTGTCATCTATGTTATAAAGATGTTTCCTCATCACAAACACACCCAGTGTTGTGTTTTGTTTCATTCATACATGTTTAACACACAAACCCTGCATATTTAAGATGAGTTTTTCTCTCAAACAGAAAATACTCCATTCCACCTTGTGATGTCATGTACTAATACAGGTGCAAGTGCTTGACTGTGTTTTTAAACTCCATACACCATCACTAGAATCATTTGGATAATTTCAGCTCAGGAATTGACTGTCTCTTTTGAACAAAATGTAAAATGTAGCTGTTAACTTGAAAACTACCACTTCATGACATCACAAGGTGGAACAGAGCATTTTGAGCTTTGGAGACTAATAATAGCAGGTTACTCAAACATGTGTGAATGAAACAAAACACAATACATTGAAATACATTCTAATATTACTTAAAGCTCACAAGAGTCAATTTTGTGTAATATAGGACCTTCGACCAAAGCCTTGGAACCAATTTTTACTAACAAGAAAAAAAACTAAACTTTCTGATACTTTAAAGTGTGCAATAAAAGTATAAGAAACCAACCGAGACAACTCCCAAGGACACAGTGAGCAGACAGATGCCCACTTAATTAAGCTGCTTCTGTGGCTGTCTTCACCCATGTGAGATGTGATACTGTGAGAGTCTGCCACATCAGCCCAGAGAGCCACAGTCAGACAGAAAACCTGGAAACTGTGACAACATTTTAAGCCCAGTTCGACCGCCCCCTTTACACAGAAGAAAATGTCATTTAGCTTTATGTGGCTTTATTACATTTCTGTTTTCCACTGATCACACTGTCACCCCGAGCTCATAAAGACACACAAAACCATTACAAAAGCTGGTGGAGTTAAAAAACAGCCCAAGGTCGACTTTCATTTGTGTTTTACCATCAGAGGCCTAGACAGGGCAGGGAGGGCATGCACTGAGCACAATGGGAACTCTGTTTAAAACCCAGCAAACATAATCTGCTTTCAGCACCATATAGTCCCTCAAATACATTTTGGGTCATTTGTGAATCTTTTATGTACCAGATTCATGCAAAACCAAATGTATTTTATAAAGAACCACATGTTGTAATGAAGAGACCCACAATCTCAAACAATACAAAGCACATCTAAAAAACATTTCCATTAGGGATACACCATTTTGATTCTGGTATAGGATATTAGCACCAGTATTGAAAATTTTGGTAGATCAAATATTTGCTTCCAAGATATCAATTCAGCTGATATTCCATTTTGGTCTATAAAACCTAGGGCTGGGTATCATTAAGAAGTTGCCGATACGATACATACCTCGATACACAGGCCACGATACGATACATATCTCGATACAGTGCACTTTCCATTCAATACGATATATTTCAAATCGATTCGATACGGTTCAATAAAAAATAAAGGCTAAATCGTGGCTGTGATACTAAAAGGCTTTGTTAAACCATTTCTTGTGCAAAGTTCATCTGAAACACAAACATTTTAATCCTCAAAACACTAAAAATGTCAAATGTGTCGCATAAATGAGCTTCCTTTCACTCCACAAGCAACAAAACTGTAGCACTGTAACAAAATAATTTAGTAAAATACACCTGAAAATACTCTTAGTGATATATCGATACAGCAGCCCACGATATCGATACTGTATCATCACATTAAACGATACAATATATAGATATTCCGATATTTTTGCACACCCCTAATAAAACGAATGCTGGCCCAAAATGTCTCATAATATTTAACTTGTATTTTTATAGAGCTGCTTTAACAGTTACAAAACTTTTTTTTTACCTTACGCTGTTTGTGTTTGAAGTTTCTGCCCTAGTATTGGTTGACATCGGCAGAGGCTTAAGCCAAGGTACTGACATCAATATCAGAACAGAAAAACCTGTATCACTGCATCCCTGAAAGTGATGCACTTCAATATTTTCTAATCATCTCTATTGACCATACAACCTACTGTTTTAAATGTGAACTTCAATGTCACTTTACATGATGTATTCTCTGTTGACCTGTACACCCCTTTAGCAGTTAGCATGTAGCTGTTAGCATGTAGCAGAAGTCACACTTCAATCAATGACAATTAGCCACATTAGCCTAAACAACATCTGACATGACACATCCCACACGACACATGCCACTTACTGTCAGGGTTGGGCGACTTGCGTCCGTGGCTCGGCGAGGAGCAGCGGAAGGTGGTGACGATGGTGTTATGGTGGGGGTTGGGGTGGTGCGGGTGGTGCACCGCAGGGTGGTTGTGCCCGTTGTTCTCTGGGGGGGCCCTGGTGATGCTTATGTCGGGTTTACGCACATCTCCTGGATTGGATGTCTCCAACTTCCGTGGGTGATGCTGCTCACGACCGAACCCGTTATTGCTGTTGCCATCGTTGCGCCGTGTTACCGGGGAGTCCGTGGGGGTCTTGGCGAAGGTCACCTCTCTCTTATGTCCCATCTCAGGTGTTCTGGAGTGGCCCAGGACTTCAGGACGCTTGAGTGCGCTACTGACCGAGCGAGCAGAGGCTGGACTGGTGATGTTGTCCACCTGTTTACTGGAAGAGCTGATGTCGATGGATAGCTCGGAGCGGCGGGACACTGGTTCAGGAGTTTTGGACCCCCCTCCACCCATGATGGAGCGGGGCTGGCTGTAGTTGACGCTGTTGTTGTTGGGGGCAGAGGTGGCGCTGCCCAAATCGCGGTAGTAGATGCTGGTGGGGGACATGGCGTTACGGTGAGGAGAGCTGGTGGTGCGACGAGAGCCTGGGGAATGGGCAGAGGTGTCCACATCCTCCACCTCAAAGGACCTCTTCAGAGCTGCAAAGAGAAGAAGATACAACAACGTCAACCAAGAGCCATTTATGAATTCACATTCATTCTACTTTTCACAAGGTATTATGTTACGTTATGTATTGAAGGATGTAGTTGTGTAGCTGAAGTCTTGGAGAGGGAGACTGAGTAAATATGCTGGATGAAATGTGGGAATGAAACAAACAAAACAAAACTTAAACTTAAAGGTCCTATATTGCACAAAATTGACTCCTGTGAACCATAGCTTCTTATAATGCTTTTACTTCATCAAAAACATACTGGAGTTGTGTTTTGTTTCATACACATGTTTGAGTAACCCTTTATTCCTTAATTCTCCAAATCTTAAAATTATATTTTCCACCTTCATGAAGGTGTAGTTTTCAACAGTTATCTTTCTCCACTCCTGAAATCATCCAAACGATTCTAGTGAAGGTATATGGAGTTTCAAAACACAGTACTGTATAGCACTTCCTGTTTTACCACATGACATCCCAATGTGGAACAGTGTTTTCTGTTTAAGATATAATGAGAAATATGCAGGGCTTGTGTGTTAAACATGTATAAATGAAACAATAAACAACTCCGGGTATGTTTGTGACGTGGAAACAACATTATAACATAGATCAGAAAATAGCTTAATATGACCACTTTAATAATACCTAAGTTTAATATACTAATTGCCACTGTTTAAAGTACACATTGCTTTGGGAATATCCATGTCACACAAACATTTTAAAGCAGTAGTGTCATGTAATAGCTTTATATTCCCATTAACCGTAAGAATGTTCCCTTACATCACATACACATTAAATATTTATGGTGGTTTATGTCGTGTTGTGTCCTGGCTGCATCGCGTGTGGTGCATTAAAATAGGCCTATTTTACACACAACCAAGAAGAGCTATTTGCCACATGGTATAATGTGAGCAGCCAGCGAAGCGTTGTTTACAACCGACCATTTAGGCCAACAGTCTCTGATTATGAACATCACAGAAACAGCAACATGCTCTTTCCTTGTAACAAAATGGCTGCAAGGACCAGACTCGTAATAGTCATTATACAGTTTGGTCAAAAGTATGTGTTTATTTCAAGCTCTTGCATCTAAAATTAAATGAATACAATACATGACACTCATATGTGAAACTTAAAGGGCACTCTGTTCCACCTTCTGATGTCATGTGATAATACAGGAAGTGCTCCACTGTATTTTACACTTTCACTAGGGTAATTTGGATATTTTCAGCCCTGGAATTGCCAATCTCTACTAAGATAAAAGTAAAAAGTAACTGTTAACTTGAAGACTACCTTTAAAAATACAATGTTTACATATTCTACACAGGGTCCAATGAAAGAAAAAAGGCTAACAAAACTGACTTACTATATAAAATTTAACTCAACACCAAACTTGTGAGAAGAGTTCAAGCTGCCATGTCTCTCTCAGTTATGTTTCCCCTGTGTTGAGCTTTATTATCTCTGAGTGGGAGTCCAAGGCTACATTAGATGCTTTCATCTTCAGCCAACGTCTCTTTCCCACAAGCCCGTTCAGACTAAGAAGGTCATATTTGTGAAGAGTCATACTGTTACATGAATAAAATAATGCAAAAAAAAAAAACATTGGAAAATTATTACACAACACCGGAAGCAGGGAGAGTTATTAATAAAAAAGCTGTACTCAAAGTCACAATGCTGAGGTGAATATTATGCCCAGTTACTAACTCTGCTATTACTTTGGGTTGTCATAAATATCACAAATCAGACATTAATCAATACTAAAGCTAGTATCGAAACTAGATACTACTGTAATTGTAATTGAATTGAGCAGGTATCTAAATACTAAATGCTAAAAAGTCACATTCACATAACAGAAATTAACCTTTCCTGAATAGCTTTATAATGATGTTGAGCTGTATCATAAAAGTATAAGACTAGTACAAGACTAGTACAGAACCTAGATACATAGATACAAGGCTGCATTGTAATATTAAAGAAAACACTATGATTTAATGTTGAAAATGACATTCTATTGTCTAAATAACAAGTGTTTTTTATTATCACTGTGGTATCAGAATCAGTATCAAGTCTTTTTCTTAGAAGCAAAAATCTGTTTGAAATTTTAGTATCATGACAACACTATCACTATTACTTTATGCAGCAACACTGAAGTCAGAACATGTTTTGGATGTAAGTTATTATCTGGAGTCTCTTGCCTTTCTTTTAGCTCTTACCTCGAATAACCCCAGTGAAAAAGTCCAAACTGTGTTGACTTGAAATAAAAGCATTTCACCACTCATAAGTGTGAGTGCAGAGCGTGCGCCAAAACTATGGCCTCACATTAAACATGGCCGACTGTATTTACACACGCACTGTCAGGACGGGGCAGAGATATTCAGTGAGTGTGACCCCTTCACTGACCTCAGATCAGAGTCTGTGTTGCTGGTACTTTGTGATTACGCTGCCTCCGGCTCTGGCGACACTAAACAACTCAAGTGCTTTAAGGCTTGTGCTCTCTTTATATTCTGGTCCTGCAGTGCAGTAGACTTGTTGTAAGGACAGGGAAAGTGTGAGTTTTTAAGCATCAGTTCCTGATTCCAGATTTGGTTCACTATTTTTGTCTTGTTTGTCACAGCTGTGTTTTTGTAGCACCTCTTTGCATTATACAGCTGCGCACAGACAATGAGTTGCCACTTGGGACTTGAAGATCAAGAAAAACATCCCATAATGCAACTTTCATACACTATTTTCCACCAAATTCATGAAAAGTGAAAGGTCCCAAATTACACACGATATAATGTTACCTCATGAAAAACATACATTGGTTTCTAAGTCTGTCTACATTTACAAAGCTTAAAATGCTCTGTTCCACCTTGTGATGTGATAGTAGGTACAGTTTTCTAGTTAACAGGTACTTTTTACCTTTTGTTCAGTAGAGATTGGCAATTCCAGGTCTAAAATTATACATATGATTCTAGTGAAGGTGTATGGAGTTTAAAAACACAGTAGAGCACTTATTGTATTACCACATGACATCACAAGGTGGAACAAAGTGACACAGTCTAAATATGCAGTGTTTGTGTGTTAAACATGTGTGAATGAAACAAAACGAACTTGTATGTTTTTGATAAGGAAACAATATCATAACATAGATTAGATAAAGTATAATATGGGGCTTTTAAAGATACAAGTTTTGTGTTTTTACTTACATTTCATGTGGTAACCTACTTCTTTCTACAGTAATTTGTACTTTATAACATGCAATATTCTAATGTGAGTTATCATTCATTCTGTACAAAACATTCCCAGACTATGAGGTGGAAATAATTGGTCCAGTCTACCTCCCCATCAGTTTCTCACAACTCCAGAAGAATACACTTCTAACTAGACTAAAACAAATGCACGAACACAGCATTTTGTTCACGCTCCTCTGTCCTAACATGGCCCAGGTGCTCCTTTCTGTCACCACGTTCTCAAGGACAGCCGTATCTTGGAGCGTACAGCGTATCATCCCAGGACAGATGTGCTGAAGGGAGATACAGAGCAGGAAAACAAACAGAGGAGGAAGAGGGAAAAGACCCCGAGGCACGAAACACCATCAGGCACAAACCACAGCTATTGTCTTCTCAAGTCGATGTATCAGACAGAACAACAAGATAGATAGAGTTACATTCTTCTGTTATGCAATGTCTACAGGCTGAAGTTAAGCCAGTGGTAGATGCATACGATTATAGTTTAAACTTATTGACTTTGTGTACAGTAAAAAAACTGTGTATGTATGTATGTATTTATGTAATATTTAGATATGTTAATGGTTTGCTTGGAAGTTTCCACAGTATAGCATTAAACTTATCTGTCTCGCTAGACTCAAGAAGATGACACCACCATAGTGATATTTTTAGCAATATAAAAACTGTAATTGAAGCAAAGCTAGAACATAACCAGTTGGTGGTCCTCCTAGAAAAGCTACACAGAGCACGTTCAATGTAGGGATGCACCGATTCGATAGCCTGATTCATCAGCCGGTTTCACTTTGTGGAAACTGTCTGACGCATTAGGATTCGTTCACTCGATGGTAGGTGGGTACTTTTTTATTTAACCAATCGTTGCTATTTGGTCATGACGTATGTAATGCGTCGTTAACAGGGCTAACTGGTATATTAAGCTTTTCCCAAATCCCGTAGGAAGAAGGGCAGTAATGTCTTTCCCCTTGATAAAATTCACCAAACACTCTCTTTGTTCAAGCTTTAAATCCTCGATCTTGGGAATCGTTGCCAACACAGAATGTATGGCTTCATCTACATCCATCTCAACCGCTTTGTTTACTGATGTGCTGTATCACCAAAAGGCTTCACAGCTCTTCGCTGATTGGTCGGTACGCGGTCTATAACTTCCGGGGTTCTTGCAAACCGTCTAGTGTATTCTGATTCCTGACCTAGTCGCTGGAGAGAAATGAAATTGAGCGGAGGCACTAGGTGGCGCCAACCTGGCTACCGATTCAATACTGGTATCAAAAATTGGCGTGATACTGAAAAAATAGCTGTATCAGATCTTGGCTTCAAAGTATCGGTCGATATCCTGAGATCCTAAGATATACTCTTCATAGGTCATAATCGGTTCAAAAAGGTCTCATAGTGTTTGAATTTTTATTTATATAAAGCTGTTCTGTAGTTACTTTACAGATAAATAAAAACTACATAACACATTTGAAATAAATTCTTAAATAAATAATATTTTCAGTCTCTGTACTGGTATCTGATGATATCGGGTATCAGCAGACACTTAAAGCCATAGTATCAAAATCTGTATCGGAACTGAAAAAGCTCTAACATCCTTACTTCAGTTACTATTTGATATTTGGCTATTCATTTATCTAACTGGGTAATTAGTAGCATAAGTTCATATTTCAAACAGACAAACTGGAATATTATAAGTGTGAGAAAAGAACAAAGCATGAGTCATAACACTAAAAGCAAATGACAGCCACATACTACAGAACACTACGGCAACTCAGGC